ACGTAATATCGGAGGTATCGATATTTTGGGATCGATCCGCCCACCCCTAATTTAAATGTTGAATGTAAATGTTTCTTCACTCACTTTCACACTATAATAAATAACTGCCTTTGCTTTGCTTTGCCTCACACAGCCTCAGTCACTCAATCACCTCGTCCACTGTGTGTGTGCCTCTCTGTGACAAGCTAAACATCATGGCACAGTCTAAATTGTATTCTCAAAAATACAGAAAGGAGTGGGAATCAAACCCTGAGTATAAAGGATGGTTGAAGCCATTTATTGGAGATGACACAGTGCTGGAATTGGGCCGGTACTCACCGGTACGCAGTACCGGCACTTCTGGTTCTGACCCATGGAGTACCGGCACTTCTTGCTCAGTACCGGCATGCTGGCGGTACTCCGGTACTCATGCACCGTGCCAGTACTCAACACTCTCCCGCCGTTCTTATTATACATCCATATATATATATACAGCCGCCCGGTACTCAGTAGATGCGTCATGAGGTGCCGAACGGACATTCTCATCGCTCTAACCGCTGGAGTTTCACAGCGGCTGTCAGCTGTTTACTCCTGTCATTCAAACAGAACGTGCTGGAGAGGGGGCGGGGCTTATCTTCTCCATGTAAATACTGTGGTGGAAACGACTATGTCAAAATTAACCTATTTGACCGTGATTTAATAGTAATACACGTTTCAAAATAATAATAATAATAATGCCGAAGTAACAACATACTGAAAACTGTTAGTAAAACCATGTTTTAATGCTTTACAATTTACATACCTAGATGCACGTGTGTTGTGTTTATGCAGTGCAACTCCCACCCAGTGGGTGGCTATGTAGAGTGATAGAACAGAGCAGGCACGCCCCCGAGAGAAGGAAAGCAAGTCACGTCACAAATTAGCATTTCTTAAAATGTTAGCATGGATTAATAAAAGTGCAAAAAGACAGCGGTTGTCGCCGGAAGAAACTTCAAATACAGAGAATGCTGTGCCTGTGTTGGAAATGGTGTCTGATGGGGAGCTTTCTTTGGTTGATCCTCCTGCTCCAAGTTCTAGTGCATTAGCATTAGCACTAGCTCCGCCGCCTCCTCCAGAGCCTCTAACGTTAGCTGCTGCTGGCTCAACTGCCACCACCAACACCGGGCAAAGCGATGCACCTGACTGCTGGACAACGGACCAGGTGCAATATTTTTGCAAGACCAATGCATGGCTCCTTCTTAAAGATAAGAAGCTAGGATGTCGGATATGCAGAGATGTCAAATCTTTGGGAATACACACTGGACAAGGACTGAAACTGTCAACTGAATGGGGTGAGTGTGCAGTGTCTCATTTCGGTGTTGACAAGGGCAAACAACAAGCTAGCCTGAGAAAAAAAATCAAAGAACATAAAGAATCACAAGCCCATGTAAAAGCTGCTGACATCCTTACATCTGCTTCACGTGAAACTATTCAACATCAAGTGCAGTCTATGCATACATCTGAATTAGACACCACTATCAGAGTTTTTCGAACGGCATATAAAATTGGCAAACATAGCCGGCCATTCACAGACATGCCAATTGATTTGAATGTACAGAAACTGAATGGGCTGAACGTGGGCAGGGTTTTGCACTCCAATAAAACCTGTGGCGAAATCATCGACCACATAGCTCATGAGCTGAAGAAAAAAATGGCAAAAGACATTACAGAAAACCAAAGAAAACTCTGTGTTTTGGTCGATGAATCTACCAATATTAGTGGTAAAACAGTGCTTGTTGTGTGTCTACGCTCAGCATTAGCTGATGCTGAGCCCGAAACGTTTTTTTGGGAGCTGATCGAGTTGGATGGAACAACGGCTGATGACATCACAAAGGCGTTAATGGAGTGTCTTGGAAGAGATTTTAACGAGGACTTTTTAGGTCAGTGTTTCGTTTCTTTTGCATGTGATGGGGCTTCAGTCATGCTAGGGAAGAGAACAGGCGTTGCTACCCAGTTGTGTAGTAAATTCCCAAGCCTGTTTGTGTGGCACTGCTCCAATCATCGTCTAGAGCTGGCAGTTGGGGATGTGGTCAAGGAGGTCTCAGGGCTCAATCATTTCCAGATCTTTTTTGACAAACTCTATTCCTTGTTCCATGCCTCCCCCAAAAATCAGAGGCAGTTAGCGCAGTGTGCGCAAGCAGTCGGACAGCGTCTCCTGGTGATAGGGCGTGTTTTGTCCATCCGCTGGGTGGCTTCAAGTGAAAGGAGCGTCAGAGCAGTCTGGGAAAACTACCGAGTGCTTCATGATCACTTCACAAATGCTGCAAACGACACGAGCAGGGATTCCAGAGACAGAGCAAAGTACAAGGGCCTGGATGATGTGCTCACATCTGCAACGTTTGTCAGCAATCTGGGACTGATGTACGATGCGCTCACAGAGCTCAGCGACCTCTCTCGGCAACTCCAAAAAAGAGAGATGACACTGCCTACAGCAGATAGGCTCTTAACTCGAGAAATACGAGTTTTTGAATCCATGGTCACCATGCCTGGCCCACACATGACTACAGTTCATACAGCTCTAGCTGAGAAGTCCTTCAAGGGTGTTGCCCTGCGTGAGAATGGCAGGCTTGTACAGATTCATGCAGGTCAGTTTTTCCGCAGTATGGTAGAGAATCTGAGACACAGAATGACTTCCACAACCTCCTCTCATGTCAGCACAAGAGAAATCCCATTACATGGCCGGGAGGCCCGGGACAATCAGCTAATCCAGGACATGAAAGTTATCCATCCTGGAAGTTGGCCTGAAGAGGAGTTAGACGTACAGTATGGGGACGTAGAGGTGCTACGTTTGTGCGAAGTGCTGAAAGTGGACAGGAGAGAGACTGTTCAGGGCTTTCGCGAATACAAGGAAACCAGGGCATCCCGTACACCTGCTGCCATGGAGCCTCTACTGAAAGCAGTCCGAACCATCGCTGTCTCCACTAGTGAGTGTGAGCGGGCATTCAGCTGCATGAACGATATCCTTACTGCAAAAAGGAATGCTCTCTCTGTCAGCCGACTGTCCAGCCTGGTTTTCATTAAATGTAATGGACCATCACTAGGACAGTTCAATCCGGAACAGTATGTGAGGTCCTGGCTGGCAAAGGGAAGAAGAAGTGCTGATGAAAGAGCCTGTCCAGCTCCAGCCCCTGATACTGATGTCCCCAAGGCCTTCTGGAGCCTTTTCTAACAATGTGAAGTATATTGCAAAGCAGCTCACCCAGTGAGAAGACTTTTGGCATAATGTGCCGATTTGTACAGATCCTGGAGATAGAAGGACTTCAGACCAACCAGGGAGTTATCTGATCAGCTTGGTGTTCAATGTAACTCTTTACCATGGCTCAGACTTTGTTACTTGCAGTTACAGTTTCTCATTTTAGATTGTGCAAATTTTGCATTTGTTTTTACATGTTCTTTGTTCATGCTCTTTATCATTTTTCTGAGTTGGAAAGTTAGATTGCATTATAGTGATTGCATCACTTTATACATATTTGTATTCTTCAGTGGTGAAGTATATTGCAAAGCAGCTCAGCCATGTGAGAAGACTTTTGGCACTTTTTCGTTTTTCGTTTTCTGAGTTGGAAAGTTAGATTGCATTCAAAATGTACAGAAATACTTAATTTTGTTAAAGCTTTTTATAAAAAATGCTTCTGACCAGAGCTTTGTTTCCTTGTCATTAATGTTGAACACCACCAGAGGGGCTCTCACCTGAAAGGTCTCTGCTTCATGTGTCTTCAGCAGAAGATCTAGACTTTGATTGCTATATTTTCAGTTAATATTGACCTTACTGAGCTTTAGCCATATCCGCTGCCTATCATAAAAAATTTTAAGTACAGTGAACCTTTCTAAAATATACAGTAGTAAAGAGACAAACCCACCAGCATTATAGTAGCCAAATTCTTGTTTGTGGGCTGTATATATAAAATTGACTTGAAAAAGTTGCTGATTTTAGAGTACTGGCACCTTTTTCATTCCAATTCAAGCACTGAGATGACACACGGGCATACTGCCTTTATTGTAAGGGGGATTTCTATGCCAAACTGTCATGTTAAAACCCCAAAACATACTCAAAAGGCAAATACATTTCTGATCTACTGTCGTCTGGATTTAACTCCGGTGGTTTCAAGTTTTGATCCTTGAAGGGTTGGGAACGTTTTTAGCCTACAGCCGCCATTACATGATATGCAAAAAAAATGTAAAAAATGCAATTCACGGCCAAAGTGGCCTTGGTGCCCCTGTCAAAAGTTCCAGTGTAAACAACGCTAGTAAAGTCATATTAGTGCGCGCAGTAGGATAGTCCCGTGCCTGTGGATCAGAGCGATTGCTCTGCTGTGATTGTTCCGTCAGAAATGCCTGTAGGGGCCCGACAGCCTGCTCCTCAGCCGCGGGAGCAAGACAAGCACAGGTAAGCAAGCGGACCAAGCTGTTTTGATATGATTTAACTGAAGTATGTGGTAGTATTTGAAAGGACTTAACATTTACGTGTTTATAGAAAGTACTATTGATAGGTAATTACCATTGTATTAGCCTATTTAAAGTCGACTCGTTACATTTTGTCATGAAAACTAGCGATAGCTAGCTAGTTTGGATAGCGCTAACGTCTTCCCTTCAAGGGGTCTACATCTAGTGTTGCTTCTACAAGCTAGCAGATAGCTGTCACCTTTGAATCTAGTATTTTTCTTGCTAAGCGGTTTTGATATAATACATGACTGACTTATGTGGTTTATGGCTGAACTTAACGTATACGTTAAAGAAACACTATTGCTATTCAGCCATTTGTAAAACGACTGGTGTTGACGTTAGTGCTACACTTTTCAGTCATGTTGATTGACCAGCGTAATTTAACCAAACGGCCTTTGTGCCCTGTCATGTGGCCTTTGTGCCCTTGAAAAAAATGTGAACGGGAAGGCCAAATGGCCTTGCCCCTAAAATGACGAAATTCCAAGCCTGCTCCACACTACAAGCGTTTCAGGCGTAAAATTACGCCTCTAGAGTCTAGCGCGTCTGCCCATTCACTTTGAATGGGGTGACGTCACGTCCGCTCACGTTTTCGCCGAACTGCATCACGGGAAGGCAAGCGTAACTTTGAGAGCGTCTCGCGCGTAAAAAGTTGAACAATGTTGAACTTTTTACGCACGAAACGCTCTCTCGGTTCCTGACAAGTGAGCGTAAGCCAATCAAATCCCGTTTCAGAAAATCTGACAGCTCAAGACGTAGCCAATCAAAAACCGCGCATACGCTGGGAGAGATATCCTGAGATATCCCGCCGTTCATGTCTATATTTGAAATAAAATGGACGAGGTTATAATCGTAGCGGTAGCGAATCACCCTGTATTATTTGATGTGACCCTGTTCACCTACCGGGATAGAAACCAGAGGAACCAGGCATGGAAGGAGGTGGCAGAGACAGTGGGGGAAACTGGTAGGTTTTCGCCTGTTTGGGGATTTTATATCCAGTTTACTTCATGTTAACATAGCTAATGAAACATAGCCGGTATATTTAGCATAAAATAGCGCCATAGACATTAATCACATACATGTTAATCATCCGCTGCCACATCATAGACTATATTGCATTACATTAATGCACACAATGTCATACTCCTTTCACATTTCTTAGTTATATATATATATATATATGCAAAAATTCATTCCTAGCATTCTATTTCCATGTAAATTACTGCTTTATTTAATTTTTATCTTTTTGCAATTTAACTGTACAATACATGTTGTGTTTTATATTAGATTTCTTGTTTTGTATATATGCACCATGACATCAAGTCAAATTCCTAGTATGTGCAAAGCTACCTGGCAATAAACCTGTTTTTGATTCTGATAAAGTGTGACATGTAAAACCTTGTATGCAATTGAAAGGGATTTGGTTTTCATTAATGGAGCAATCATTTTCTGAAATTCAAGAAATTAACTGTATTCTTTCATTTTCATTTTATTAGACGAAGTGTGCAAAAAGCATTGGAAGTCCCTCAGGGACCGATACCGCAGGGAGAGGATCCTGGAGAAGGAAGGGAAAAGTAGCGGGGCAGGGGCTTCCGGGGGATCTAAGCCCTGGCGTCTCGCGGCAGTAATGAGCTTTTTAAAGCCCTTCATGCTGGACCGTGAGATGTCCAGCAATTTCCCCCGGCAACCCCTGCCTCCACCCACCGGAGCAGAAGAAGAGGAAGACTCTATGGGTGACAGCCTGGATGACAGTCTGGAAAGCCAGCCAGAGCCAGGTAGCAGTCAGCCGGCCAGTCAGCCGGCCAGTGTGCCAGACGGTGTGCCAGACGGTGTGCCGGCCAGTGTGCCAGCATTCCGGGGGAAGAAGAGCAGGGGAAGGGAGATGTCCCCTTTTGAGGAGAACCTGCTGTCGGCCGTAGGCCCGATGCTGGCCATGCCACCACCACCACCACCAGTGGTGGAGGTGGAAGACGAGGACCTCCTTTTTTTAAGGAGTCTCTGGCCTGCAATGCAAAAGCTGAGCAGGACGAGCAGCATGAGACTGAAAATGAAGCTACAAGAGGCGGTCCTGGAGGCCACAGAAATGGACATTAATAATTCATTAATTAATTAGATACTGATACTGATACTGATCCACATTACATCTTTTTACACTCATCACACACAACATCACATAAATAAAAGTTATTTAAAAGTATGTTATGGCTATACTGTGTCTTGACTTGTTCATGTGGTTTGTCAGTTACAACATACCAGGAGCTTCTTGTATGTCGATATATAATGTGCTGTCTTCTGTAATTATTCAGGTGAAACCCTGATGAAAATTATGAGTGGTTTATCACTAAAAACAGGGCTGAAGGAAAAAGGTTGTTAGTTATATCATGATATCAATTCAAGAAACATGTTTATTAGGAATGGTTGATTTTAAAATGGCTCATTTGGAATATTTGCTTTTTAAAGAAAATGGGTAGCTCTTAAAAGAGCTTTTTGGTTTGGAGACAAATATGGGCCTACACCACATTTGCCTGCCATCGCACTGCCCCCTCCTCGTTGAAGTAGGAGCAGAAGGTCTCCCGCTGTTGGCTGGATCGCCGTGTGGCATTGTTGGAGCCCATCCTCGGTGCATCACACAGGGTTGGAGTAACTTCATCCGTGGACCTTGCGATAGGTGTGCGTGATGGCATATCAATGGTCTTCCTGCGGAGGAAGTTATGCAACACACAGGCAGCCTTCACACACAACTCCGTCACCTCGGGGCTGGTGGTGATGACACGCCTGAGCATTCTCCACTGGGTTGAGAGGATGCCAAACGCACATTCAACCACCAACCTGGCACGGCTGAGGCGGTAGTTAAATAACCTCCTTTCACGGGTGAGGTGACGTCCAGGGAATGGACGCAGAAGGTTGTCCAGCAGCGGAAATGCCTCATCTCCAACGAAGACATGGGGGAGAGGGCCCCGCCGCTCTGATCCTGCGATGACGGTGTCAGGGGGTAGCTGCAGACTGCCGTCTCGGAGGCTCTCTCCAAATGCAGAATTCCGCAGGCTCCCACTGTCGCTGCTCCTCCCAAAGCCTCCAACATCCACTACCCTGAACAGGTACTCAGCATCCACCACAGCCAGCAGTACCAAGGAGTGGGTGGACTTATAATTAAAGTAGAGGGAACCTGCATTTGCTGGAGCCTGGATAACGACGTGCTTCCCATCTATGGCACCAACACAGTTGGGAAACTCCCAGCGCTCCTGGAACCCAGCAGCGATGGCTCTCCAATCCTCCACCTGTGGTACCGGCATGCACTCCTCGACCAGGGCGGTCCAGATGGCCCCCGCAACCTCCTTGACAATGACTGCCACTGTAGAACGCCCGACCCGATAGCTGAAGGCTATCGTCGCGTACGAGTCACCAGTTGCCAGGTACCTGAGAAAAAAAGATATATACATGATTACAAAATATATTTATTCAGACCCCACACACACACAGACCACAGATCCCCCCCTCCACACATTGAACACAGACACACACATTGAACACAGACACAGATTGAACACACATTGAACACAGACACACACACATTGAACAGACACACACACATTGAACAGACACACACATTGAACACAGACACACACACATTGAACACAGACACACAGACACACACATTGAACACAGACACACACACATTGAACAGACACACATTGAACACAGACACACACATTGAACACAGACACACAGACACACACATTGAACACAGACACAGACACACACGCCATGTACACAGGGGAGCAATACTGTGTTTACCTAGATATCTTAATTAATGTTACCCATCTGAACTAAATCACAGACTTCAGTCATCATTCGTGCATTCTCTCTCCTTCTATACAGAGTCAGATTAAAGAAGTAGAAATACACAAAACGTACCGTAGGCAGATGGCGAGTCGCTCGGCGGGGCCGATTGACATACGCAGATGGGTGTCCACCTTTGTAATCAGTGGGCCCACCTTTCCGAGCAACTCGTCGAACACCTCCTTGCTCATCCTGAAGTACCTCTGAAAAAGGCGGTCATCGAGACGGAGCTCCTGGACGAGAAGGTGGTATTCCCCCCTTTGTAGACGCTTTCGGAGTATCGGGTGTACCCAGAAGCGACGCACACTACACGGCCTCATGCGAGACAATGTATACACTAAATGCAACCTTGCACACACACGAGTTACCCTGCTTACCCTTGCTACAACACCGGCATCCATTTTAGCAATAGTGGAGAAGAACCGGGGTTTTTCACTTTGTATGTCCGGGGCGGGTGATTCACATGGAGATTCTGATTGGTTGTTAGTCGCGGGGCTCGAAGAAACGCCCGAAGCGTAAATCTTGGGGCGTTGGAAGCGAATTTTACGCTTGTAGTGTGGCCGGCCCGTTAGACTGAGAGACTCAGGTGAGCTAAAGGACTCTCTGAGTGTTAAGATAGTTCACTTTAGTCTTGCATTCACACCTAATAGTCCGCTTGTTTCATTTTTCAGAAGGTTCGGTTTGCGTTCACACGGTCAAAACTCAAACGGACTATAAACTTTAAACACAAGTCATGTGCACAGAAATGCTGTTCAACAATTGGTGAGACATTAAGGGGGTAAAAACGCAAATCCCGGCAATTTCTACCGGAGCCTCCGCCATGGAGCATCGGCCCTTTCGGCAGGTTATTCTCATGCTGCTGTTAATCTGGAGATCAACAGACACTAGCGGCCCGCGCATATGATTATACAATCAGACAACGTCCGTTAAAAAACATTATAACATAATGAGAGACGTTCTGCAGTAAGGAGGGGCGTTTCACCGACGACAGGTGTTCTTACTTTTATGTAGTTGACGGAGCATTTTTACTTTACACGACACTGTTCAACACATAATTCTGCTTCACTCTTTAAATTAACAACCGCGGATGTATTGAAAGACTCTCTCGCTAAAGATTTTTGAAGACATCCGCATTCTTGTGACGCATAAATACTACGCTTCCTATGTTTTGGTGCGGACTGCGTTCACACCAGCAATGAACCGCTCCAGAGTTCGCAATCAAGCGAGACCACCTATTTTAGCGGGCCAGAGTCCGGTTGTTTAGTTCACTTCAGAGGTCTCGGACTGCGTTCACACCGACCCAAATGAACCGCACCAAGCGGCTAAGCGCACCAGGGTTAGATTCAACCGGACTATAAAAGGCTGGTGTGAATGCGCCGTTATCTCAGTGGGTCTCAAACGGTTTGGTCACAAATTATTCAAAAGATTATTTCCGCGGCACACCTTCATATGATCATTATAGTCTATATGGCAGTAAAACAAAAGGGGAGTGATTTGTAAAATATCCATAAAGAAAAAGAAAATCTGTTTACAGTTCTGTTTCATATGGGTGTTGAGAGATGTATCCATAGATCTCTTAATGTTGCTCTCAAAGTGCACCAGATTGATGCTTTTAACTTCAATATTTAAAAAAAATCTTCCCGGGGGAGCATGCCCCCGGACCCCCCTAGAGTAGGTGAGGTCCGCCCCCACTCAGTACTTTACCCCTGCCTATATGCCGTGAGCTGATTATCGAGCCTTCATTGTAACAGTCGCGGGTGTACTGTGTGTGCGTATGGGGAGTGTTGCAGTAGAAAATTCCACTGTAGTGCCGCGGCCGCCACCACTGTGGGCTAAGCCCCGAATGTTTTCAGGTCCAGGCGACGCCCCTGGTGAGTGGCAATAACTCTCCTTACCAGCAGGCGGTGGTAGTGTGTATTCGTCATTCAAAAGAGGCAACAACCGGAAGACAGACTCTGATAACCGAGAGAAGAAGAACAGACTGCGTGATATAAACAAACAACAAATAGCGTGTGCGTTCCATTTTCACTCTCCTCCATCGAAAACTATTTAAAGTGGACCTATCATGCTATATTTGAAAAATATATTGTAGGGGCATACCTATATAAACCATGCCTGTGAAGTTTTTTTTTCAAAATACCAAACAGATCACCCATTGTAGCCATGCCTCATATTGCTCAAACCCCTCTTTTGCAGCCCTGTTAGAGAAACGCGGATCTTGGGTCCTTAGATTGAAAACAAATAAAGAAGAGGAGGCGGAGCTAATGCCTGATGAGGGTGCGCAAATATGATCACATCACCCCCATCCTTAAAGCACTACACTGGCTACCCGTGGAACTGAGGATCGAATTCAAGGTCTCCGTCCTCACCCACCAGTGTGTCCATGGAACTGCCCCTCCCTACCTCAAGGAACTCCTCACCCCCCATACCTCCTTGCGGACCACCCACTCCAGCAACTCCAACTTCCTCAAACCCCCCAGGACTATGGGAGACCGGGCCTTCTGCTCGGCTGCTCCCAGTCTGTGGAATGCTCTCCCCGACCAAATGAGAGCACCACAGACCGTGGAGGCTTTTAAAAAAGGCCTCAAAACCCATCTCTTCAAGACCTTCTTATCACCCTTTTATTTTTTATTTATTTTGTATTGCTTTTTATTAATTCTAACGTGTTGTGTAATGTTTATTTATACTGTTCATGCTCACTACTTGTAGCACTTCGGGATTTGAAATCAAATATGAAGTGCTTTATAAATGGAACCCATTATTATTATTATTAATTCTACTGGAGATAAAGTTAAGGCGAGACACGGCAGGCAAAAACATTGTTTTTCAAGTACTGGTCAATTTTGAGATGTTGTGCTATTTTGATTCTATAACATGTTTTCTTTCAGGCTTTTGGAAGGAAAACGTACAAAATACACATTTAAGTGTTTATTTTTACTATAGTTTGTCTATTTGCATCTGTAGATTTCTCCTAAATTCACCAAAAGTTAGCATTCTAACGTAACATAAAGTACCGCGACCGCTGTGTGCACCATGTCATCAGAGATATCGTTGGAAAGCTGTGTCTCTCCTGTATCAGCAACCAATCGTGAAAGTACAAAGGGGTCTTAAACCAAGAAACGAAATCTCATTGCCTGGTGTCAATTTCTGACAACGTGATTCGTTCAGATGCGTCACGTCGTGTGCTAAAACACTTCCTGGTTAGCTTTTCGCTAGAAATTGAAATCTCAAAATGGCAAAAGAACGGCGAAAAAAACGTTCACAGAGAAGACGACAACAATTGTCACTTGCAAGGTTATACAAAAAACAAATGACCCCGAACATG